ATGCCGTTTTTGAGAATTTGGTTTGCAACTAGGTTTCAACATCCAATCACGCCATCAGCCCATTGAAAACATTAGGTCACGTCAGCTAGTTTCCTATATATCCATTTATTTTATTACCATGGTATAATCCTTCAAGCAATCCATTAACATGGCAGCCACGTTGGTAAGCTGTGGAACTGGTTCTCAATTGCTGCTAATCTTGTTGTTGTTGTCGTTGTCGTTGTCGTCGTCGTCGTCGTCGTCGTCGTTGTCGTCGTCGTCGTCGTTGTCGTCGTCGTCGTCGTCGTCGTCGTCGTCGTCGTCGTCGTCGTTGTCGTTTTCGTCGCCGTCGCCGTCGATTCACGGTGATCGATTTTTCATTTTTGACTTTAGAAGCAAGTTGCAAGCAATTTTTTACTGTAGGCCTATTCATAGCAAATAATAATATACATATAATTAATATTCAGCAAATATATCAGCAAACGCAAACGATAAGGAAGACATTGTTTTGTCTATGATGTTTACGAAGTTACTCTGAGTGTATATCCATACCGGACAAGCATGAAAAAATATACCTGCATGGCCACGGTGGGAACCGAACCTACGACCTTTGGAACTTTTGGAATACTAGATATGCTCTGCCAACTGAGCTACACGGTCAGCTCGGTTCGAGTATGATATCAATGCCATCCAGTAATCATGATTATTTTTTTATCATATTCACATGAGTACATAAAACCAACACAGAAAGCAGAAAAAATCTATTGTTGTGAACAAAATCACAATATCATGTTTCGCTCGCTACTCTGGTTTAAATAAATTATTACAAAGTTCTAGCCTGTCGAATTTCACACTCGGCGGTTGACTGCTCAGACGTGGCTGCAGTACAGACTGCTCAGACAAATTTTACAATTGAAAACATCGATGTGAATTCAATAAAGCTCTTAAATAAATAGCTTGTTTAATCTACGATAGTTGTCGTATAAAGTGGGCATGGGATCTTGATGCATTGAAAAAATTTGTCGAAGATGTTGTCAGTTTATCGGGAATTTGGAAATCACCTGGAGGCACAGCTAAACAGTTCCAATATATACCCACCGGGCACACGACGTTATTTCAACGTTGAAATTTGGTAGAAAAAAGGTTGCGACGTCGTCAACCTAATATCCACGTTGCTCTGACGTTGTTTTACAAACATTGGTTCAACAGCAGCCAACAGACGTTGAGTTCATGGTTAAATGTACGACGTCGATTTGTGAACCAATCTCAACGTTGTTTTAATGTGGATTCAACGTTGAATTATGGTTGACGAGATTGGTAACCTAATTTCAATATTGTTTCAACGTCGAAACAGTAACGTCGATCCAATTTGCATAGTCAACCCTTTTTCAACGTCCATCCAACGTCTGGAAGGTCATTTCCAACGTCGATTCAACGTTGGATAAACGTCATTTTGCCCGCTGGGTAGTGACTACGATCTCACCCTAACTTGGTATCCGGGGAAACAAAACACGATAACATTTCATGGGAAAGACGGTGAAATGCTAAAAGAATTCTTGATGCTTTTACTGAGTAAACCCAGAGATAAACAAGCGACCAATATATTGCCCGTGAATAGTGTGCTCACAACCGATATTGAGCCTGACATGCAACAGGAAGCTAGTGGAAATACAAATGATGTTGCGGCTGAGAAACCTGATTGTAGTAATTGCGAGGATATGGCGATTAAGCTATCCGAAGTTGAGAGGGAACTGTTCGGTTTGTATGATATAACTTATAAAATCTATAATTCTGTTAGCGATTCGACAGCGATAGGTGATGATTTGGGCCAAACGTTTTGTAAGGATGGTCACATTAATGCAATAGATCAGCTCAATCAGAACAACGAGCGCCCCCTTTCAGAATATGATGAATTGACAACAGACTTAGAGGAAGTTAAGCTGGATGCGGTGATAAATCACACTAAACTATCCAACATTATCTCATCAAATAGTAAGGTTATTAGCGAAAATACTCAAGAAATAAATCAACTCAACGAACAATTGACCAATGTGCAAGGTGAGCGCCAAACACTCATTAAGAAAATATCAAAACAAAGTGAGATAATCCATATCAAGCAACTATCCTCCAAAGTGGAGAATTTGCAAAACACACAAGCAATTCATAGTGCTCAACATGTCATAATACCTGAAGTCAACCCGACTATGCAAAATATCTCACCGCTGCCTGCCATGAGAATTACAACTGATGCCAAATCAACACCAAAGGTCCCAACTGCCTCATCATATCCTATGCTAAAAAATACAAACTTTCCGGTAGACTGGCTGGGAAAGTTGCCCCTCATCGAAGGAAAACATAAACTGCAATCCGTTAAGTTCTTAAACAATAAACTTGTAAATGGTCAAAAGGAAAATTTTGAAAGCACTTCCTACACGCATCAAAAATAGTGCGTTGCACCAGATGAAATCGATGATCATTTTTGGGGGCTCAATTGGAAAAAAAAACGGAGCCGGCTAACGTGCAATCGTTGTCACAAACAGGATTGGCTCAACCATTTCAAGCTGGTTCAACGCATGATGAAGTGATAAAAATGCCAATTCAGGTTAGAATCACCTTACGTATATCTTCTCGACGTACAGTATAACACCAGAGATCATACAACCGTCAACTCGTTCCAGTTACGAGAAAAAGTGACATTAGTACTAACAATAATTGTAATTTTTCCTGGCTTCCAAGCTACTATCTTATTAAAACACGTTCGCTTTTTTCGAAAGTTGACGAACTGCAAGCGCTTTTATTTAGCAACCCTGCAGACATCATTGCTATCACTGAATCGTGGTTGTACGAGGATATCTCTGATGACCTCATAGCACTTGGTGGTTATAAAATTTATCGTAATGATCGGTCTCACGCACGCGGAGGCGGTGTTTGTATTTACTTGTCGGAAAATATTCCCTGCCAACGAAGGCTAGACTTGGAGAACTCAAGCTTCGAGTGTTTGTGGGCTTGTGGCTTTGGCTTCGTCCCGTACGCTTACCCAGACCTTGTCGGGGATTGCTGTTTGTCTTATTTACAACCCCCCCCCC